TAGTTGGATATCTCACCAGTTAGCGCCACAGATGGCGCATGTTGGCGAGTGTTAAACGGGACTTATTCATCCAAGTTGAGATTTGACAGGCGCCAGTGAGACACACTAAACACACTCTTATTTCTGTTCAACCCATTCAGAAGACTCTGTATTGAGTCAGCGCCTTCCCCTAGCAAGACAATGGCGTCTGTAGATACCAGGTGAACTAGATGACCTCCAGGGAGTAAATCAACCAATGTGAATATATCAATGAAAAGTTTGGGCATTTAGGAATGCATTAACGTACAATGAGCAAATATTTAATGCAATGTTTACATATAATGATAAGTTTTTACTTTGGTAATATTTCGAGCGGAATTACCGAAATAAAAACTTATCATTATGTATAAGATATGGATTAGATATTTGCTTATAATACATTAATCTTTGTGAAGTCAGAAGTACCAAAGGTTATATCCATTAGTACGTGTATGACGAAACTTAACAAAAATGGCGACAGTGAACATTCCTGGTTGGCACCAATTGTTGTCGTCGATTCACATGACAACTCTACATAAGCCGTTATATGAGTGCAAGAGTTTGAGTAGAGAGTTTTAATTGGCGTCATTTACACGCTCGGTACTCCTTTCACAGTCAGACATTAACACAACACCTCAGGGTCGACACAGACAAATGTCAACTTCAGGTCAAGAAATATGGGAAGTGTAGGCTGGCTGTTGGTCACTAGTTATGCCAGTGTTCCAGAACCTATCGAAGGGTAAAAATATGATCAATCCACCCTCGTCCAGCTATATCTCAACGTTTCCTAGTTTTCTACAGTTTGTTGTTCTCGAGCTCCGGTTAGTTGTTGGGTAACTCCGGATCCTAGGATCTCGGACACACTAGTAGTCAAACTAATTCCTCTATGGTTGTCACAATAACATTTCTCACCCTTCTTATAGATTGGGAGGATCATTTAAGTACAACAGTCTGACGGTACTACCTCTGATTCACACACACTATCTAGTTCTTTCGTCACTCTAATCACCAATTTCCTACCTCCATCCTTGAAAACTTCGAGTGACAAACTATAAGGTCCCACTGCTTTTTCAGCGAATCAGGTTCAATACAAACTCCTCAACTTCAAGGAGAATTGGAGGACGGATATCTAGATCCCATTCAAGTTCAGGATGGCTTGATGTTGGACAACTGAAGTGTTGGTGAAGGCCAGTTGAACCGTGCTTCAAAGTGTTCTGCACAATGTTCTAGCCGCATATCTTGAGAGCTTATCAGCGTCCCATCCCTTTCGATGACGGTTTTACTCGCCACGTCATCTTCTTGCCGGTATGCTGAATAAGCCTAAACAATTGCCGATTGTTACACAACGCCGATGCCTTCTCCATCTCTCTCACTTTCGTCGCCCAGCACTGCTAGTGAGCGACGCAAGGACTCTTCTTCAACTTACATTTGAGTTGCTTTCGTTCTTCATCGTGGTCAGAGACAGCTAGCTGGAATCACTTCTCGCACCGAACAGTTCAGATGACGTTGCGGAAATCAAAAGACGTTTTCTAACCTCCTGGTGTAGTATACCAATTGTTTGTAGCGCTGTTCCTACAGCAGACTTAATGTCACGACAGGTTTCTCAGGGTGAGCATTGCTGTCACATTCAGACAAATGCTTAGTTATCTCCTCTCTAGATGAGTAATTGGCATCCCCACTTTTGAATCGAGCGCCAATATGCTTCACTGCCACCTGTTTCCTGTGGCCAGTAAGGGTTAGATATATACAAGTCTGTACTAACACGTGATCGGGGTCGAAAATGGTACTCTAGAAAGATGGACGATTCTCCAACGATGGATTATAGCTATGTGATCTGTCTGTGTCCATCGTTGGTTTGATGGTTGTGGAGGCTGTGTGCTTAAACTTAGTGTTGGCCAGAAACAAGTGATTGTTGGCACAAAACTGTAACACACGGTCACCGTTGTTGGTTCGTTGGCATGGGATGCCGTAAATTTGCCCAAATTTGACAACTTTTCGTAGAATTCACCCTTTGCATCATAAAAACTGCAGTCGGTGTGTGCACTGGGGGAAATAATGAGTAGGCATCTCCTAGTCCCACGATCCTACCTAGCTCTCACAGGCCCATTGAGTCCGACAGCTCATAGACGGGTGTTGACTGGTATCTCGTCGAGAAGTGCACCTTCTACCGTACAGCTCAGTGCCAGTGAGTTCACTGGGGCTATAAGCTGAGTCTCAGGATACTCTTAAGGTGAATTTTGAAGATTCACTATTATGACCAAGTGAGGTTAGCTTAATAACAACACTCAGATCCTGTAAACGTGGTTCAGAGACACAACATACATTCATGGCTAGAGATTCCAGAGTTATGGCGAGCGATTCTTGTTGTCCGATTTGACATAAAGTTTGGACTTTGAAACCTTATACATGAAATTAATGGAGGAGTCTTAGGAGACTAGGAAGATTTTAATGGCTTTTGTCATTAATAATGATCGCAGAATGAGAGGTTGGGGAGGGTGTAAGAGGATTAATATTAGTGTCAGGAGGTGAAGGCATACGGGAAGACAGAGTTGAGGAGAATAGGTTGTTTGATTGGGTCTTGAGCACTACTGGAAGCGTGGGGGCGTTGACGCCTCCCGGTTGCCCACACAGTGGAAGACTATTTTTTCGTAAGGTGCCTTAAATAGAACAGCAGAAAGAATTGTATGACCACAGAGCCCACGAGAAATATGCTTGAGGCCTGTCACACACGGCCTTTAGCAAGTTGTTGTTTTGAAGTTTGGTTGTTCTAACACCGGATAGAGATAACCGATACTGCCGGCACCCTAAGGCCACGGAGCAGGGAGGAGTGTGCTATTGTTGGAGCCAACATTTTTTAACCTCCCTTCCCAAAGGGAAGGCAGTATCAGAGTGACACTATTGGTCACCCAAGTGAAACACCTTACTGCTGTCACACCCCATCCAGCCAACAGTACAATTTCGCCCTTGGATCCCCATCATAGTATGAAAATTTTCACTGCAACGGTAACTGCTCTTTTCTTTACCACTATACGACAGACCTTTCTGGCATGAAAGGACCTCGAGGGGACAAGCGCTTCACCAACATAGATTATTGGGTCATTGCGAAATGGAAGCCCGACCACCACATCAAAGTAGCAGTTATCGGCCAGAATAGTGATTATGATTACGATTAATTATTGTGTGTCTTATTTTCAAATATTCGTCTTAGCAAAATAGCAATTTATTCTTACTCCCCCTTAATACCTCACAATTCCACTATACTTTTCAAAATCGAAATAAATTTCCCTACCCTATTTTTGTTCTACTTTACTTGCACAACTGGAATAAGCCTCTCTGACCCATTTACTAATCCAGGCGAAAAACGTCCTTCGTCATCGATCGCAAAACATATATTAGAAACTGGTCATAATATTGATATGAAAACAGCCTTTACTGTACTGTATAGATGTGGTCAAGGATGGATACTTAGACTTATCCAAGCATTTGCTATCCATAAATTCAACCCACCCTCTATGTACTCAGAAACAATTTGTGCTTACACACCTACCCTAATAGTAATAAGTTCAACTCTTCATACTATATTGGTGGTGACATTTTTACCTTGTATTTTTTCCTTTCTTGTTTCCTTTCCACCCCTGCTATCGTTCTTAATTATAATTCCATCGGTTTAATAAATCTTTCTAAGTTTCATTTAAATTATTCGACAAGTTCATGTATGATCAGACTGTTCGAAATGTATAGCGCCAATGCATCACAAGTTTCAGATAATCTTCGTCTTCTCATAACGTTGTTTAAATTTATCAAGGGGACTAACTGTTTCAAGTCACTCACCTACAATGTATTGATCTTTGTTCTATATCACGATGTAACTGGATGATCATAATGGTCACCTATGCCAAAACTTGAATATTAACCTGAAAACTTGATGTCACTTCTATACTCTTGAAAAGGATCTTCCTAGACAGATAAAAATGTTGAGGAATAATATCAAATATTTATTTTGTTGTTTGTTCTAATATACAACGCCGGAATTATGCAAGTAAAATACATCTTATACGATGTATTATCATTCATAATGTCACTAAATATTTGCAATACCACACTGATTTGCTACTAATACTACGGTGCGTTAACTCACTTTTCTTTTTTACTACTACATGACTTGAAATCGTATTATAAGAATTTTTGAACTTGAAGATATCTTTGGCTCTAAATATTTAGGAAAAATCATTTTTAACCCTACATTTCTTCTGCTTGATAATTATGTTCATGCCTGTAAATTTCACGAATTCTAAGCAGAAAATTACTAAACACAAATTCATCTGGATAAAGAATGAGAACGGTTACATGGTTATATCAAATGTCTAACAGGTCCCAAAATGCCGATTTCATTCTATCCGGAATAATTAAATTACGAAACGGCCGTTAGGAGAAACTCAAATTACCTGTAAAAAGCCTGCAATATAGCTGTGCATCCACCTAGTTTTTCCTCGTTTGTCAATTGTTTCTAACTGATTATCTGTTATTCAGAATTGTGATTAGTACTTTGGTAATGAAACCATTCAGTTTTTCTGTTTCTATTAGGAAGCTATTGATACTCTCAGTGTTTGTTGTTTAGCCATATTGTATCGGTAGAAGTGATAAACAACACAAAACACCAACTAATTTATCAATGGTTTCAGTGGCTCGTATGATAATAATCTTTGAAGAAAATTAAATCCTGTTATTCGTTTAATCAAGGAGAACCTTAAAGTATTTTTATAAATGGCATAATATGCTTAATAATGATGCCAAATTATCGTAGAAATAATGAAAATATTCACTTCTTAAATACTTTCTTCATGTAGGTCATAAAGTGGGTTTTCATGAAGTGAGCAAGGTCACAGAGATTAACTCACATCAAAATCAGCAGAGATTTTCTCCTCTTTGCCGTAAAGGTGACATATGGTATATATGTATATTAAACTCATTTGATCGACTGTTCTTAATGGATAACATCCACCACGTAGAAATGGAGTAATAAAGTATTTATCACTCGGTGTTTTGAATTCATCTCCAAATATTTTTTGTAATAAATGTGGATTATATGAAGTTGGTTGCATCAACGCGAGAAAATAAGCCATGAACATCGCGGATATTTAATTTCATCACACAATGTGACTATATGAGGCCAGTTTACATCCACCAAGAACATATTTGCACTATGCGGAAACATATCTGTTTTAAAACGTAAGGAAGAATGTGAAGACATTAACTTAAGTCATCTCCCAGTAACTATGAAATCTACCGGTTAATGTAACAAAAGTAAACATATGCCATGTTTTGATATTGTTACTTTCTCTGTAATAAATAAGCATCCACCAGGCCTCATAATAATACCAGACACATTCAGTCTTCGAAACAAAATACCTTCAGGTATTCCATCAGGTACCTCAAATATGTTACAAGGGTTATTCTGATTGTCACTACCACTATGATCAAACATGTGTTACTTCTTAATCTTTAGATGACATTTTTCCTTACGGTTTGGTTGTATGATGTTATTACTATTGATCGAAAAAGCATATCTTAGTTGATATGTCTACTGCTTTCTGTGCCGGTCCTCATATATATTTAGGCTTATTTTCGAATTGAGCTTAGCTTCTGTTCTCTCATAGCTGCATATACTGACCTACACATTACGAAGTCCGGTAACATTTTTGGTTTGTAGATTATATCGATTGTAGGAATTTTTCCGTAGGATATTCTTAATGTTAACCAGAAAAGTGGATATCGCAATAACAAAAGAAGGTATCTTGATTGGGGATTAACTTGAAACAACATTTTGACAAAATTACCACAGTACCCATTTGTTGTAAGGGATCGAAGACAGACATCTCTCACAAGCGTTATCGGTTGCATACTTTCATTCATTTTAAAAAACGTCTTACTTAAGACTCATGATATTATTACGTAACTAAATCCAAAAGCTTTTTACTGACCCCTCACTCAATTCTGTACAAATCATAGTTGCAAAATAAATGCATGTTAATATGAATAGAGCAAGAATATCAACAGTAGCATAATTTCTAAGCATGTATTTCGTGGATTCTCCTCAGCTGTTTTACAACCTACAGAATGTAATGTTCATACTAAAGGAAAACATATTGTGCAACGTACTTTTATAAACCGCCAAGAATTTTTCGAATTGAGATGGGAAGTAGCAAAGATTTAGGTTTACCTACATTCATGAAGTTTTTAAGACTACTGAAAGGTTAACTATTTATAAAACTCGACCTATAGCGTTATACAGATGGAAAGATTCATAGATACACTTATCGGAAAGACGCGTGGAGTGGGCTTCACTTAAACTCCAACAGCTTTTGCCCGACCAGTTACAAAAAACCTCTGGTAAGAGCACTTTTCAGCCGTACGCACAAACTGTGCTCTGAGAAAAATTCAGGAGGAACTGACCTTTGTTGAAAACTGTCTCTGAAAAAATGGTTACTCACAAAAGTTCATTGACATGTACTATAGGATAAAACAGAAGAGAATTAAGTGCAGTACAGCTGACAAGATGCTGGTTTATCTACACCTTACCTTCAAATAAGATGAAATCGCCACATGGATCAACCTTAGACTGAGTGCTGTGATAAAAGTAACTTCTCCAGCCGCCAATTTAGTGTGTGTGTGTGTGTCAAACGAAGCGCTCATTGAGACAGTTTAAAGTGGACAAGTTCCCGACTCTTGTCACTTTCAACTGCATCTACAAATCCCCGCGTACTTGCCAGAGCACATGCAACAGAAGAACGAAGAGAAGGGACCTCGTCCTAATTTTTGAACAGATCCCAAAATCTTGAACCTTAAGGGTCTATAGGGTATAAACAGTTCAATCACCGGCATTTACTTGATACGGATCATACAGTCGATACTTCAAAATCATCCTAAGTGATGAATAAACAACTGAAACCCACTTTTTCATGGCTTGCTGAAGCAGTTACAATTAACAGACTAAAAGCTGACCGATGTATTCAAGAAGATACTGTTGTCAATCTTGTATTACTTCGGTGGTTTTATTCTCCTAAACTCGTAAATGTATAATTTCTTGACCTTAAGACATTTTGTTTCTTCACTTTGTTTTTTGATCTACTTAAAAACTTACTCTCACCTTCTGAGTTGTATTCATCTCCCCTCCCATATATATATCACAGTCATCAAGTTTTCCTCTTACATCCTGGCTAATAACCTTCTTTGTCATTAACTGAAGCAGAATTAAGTGAGGAAAAAGCTGAGGATAGTCAGAAGAGAATATGACGCTGATCTTTGAAGTCATTATCGGTCTGAACCATGTAAACTCACTCTAAACGTTAAGATAAGGGGTTGGAGACACTGTAACACTGTTCAGAATTGATCACCATGTCAGATGTTTTCACTTTATCATCACTGAAATTCTGAAAATCTGTGTACTCCATAGCTCTCCTTCTTGATTACTGCAACTTTATCTATTTATTTCTATTTCCTTATTATGTGGTGTTGTGTAGCATTTTGTATTGCCGTGCTTCTATTTATCAGTTCGTTTGAGGGTTGAAATACGCAAAACAAGAAGTGAGCTGTATACCTCATTACAGTTCAAGTAAATTGCCTCAATTCGACGTAATGGCTTTAAAAAAGGAATCGTATGCTTGCTAAACGTTTTTTTGGGTATAAAATTAAAATAACACCACCAGGACCTCTATTCATATGCTTATAAAATTCCGTGTTGTGTTTGTCTGTCTATACTTAAAACCACAAAGTTTCTACTACGTTTTTCTCTAAGGTGTACACTGGAATTTAATTTTCTTTTTTTGGAAATCAACAAATTCGTTAATTTGGTTACTTATTCGAGTCTTAGTTTAAACAAAGCTTGATGTATTATCAAACTGTAGTATATTTCATCTTAACTTCCTATGAGTTGTAGATTTGAATTAAAGTATTCCGTTTTACTTGAAGATACATTTAGCTCTTATTCTCCGGAAGGACTAACAAATACCTTAGAAAAGCTGTATAGAATTAATTGCTACTGTAGGATTAAATGAAAATTTATATCGTCCATTTCATTTTTATTACGCTGATAGTCCGATGACAGGTATATTGCTTAGCCTTCACATACTTTTGTAAAGTAATGAAGCTTATAGGTAAATAACTCTTCAGATTTCATACATTTTAGTTCGATTGATGAAGGAATTATCAATTCAAGATATTTTCATACTAGAAGTCTGTCTTTTTTCAGTCCAGGTTGTGCACTAAAAAAGGCAAAATTACGATAATATGGAGAATGCTTAGCATATTTTCATTTCTGGCGTCGAAGTTTGGCTTCAATAGTCTGATTACCCCACGGAACCAGTTCTACTCACTGGGTCATCATCAAGATATGAGCACTCCGCGAAGGTAAGTTGAAGTGAAGTGAAACTGAAACCAGTGAAATTGGTAACAAAAAAGGAGCATTACAGTTTCGAAGGAAGAGTTGTATTACTCATGTAAGGAACTTTTATTAACTACTAACTATTTCAAACGTTTTTCAATAGAAACAAACTCGAAAATCTTATGAAATTGTGACTTATTTTTAAACGCAATGCTTGAATTACCACACACTCCATAAGTTACATACCTTCAGGAGTTTTACTTCCCCAGTATTGGTACCATATGGTAGTTGGTATAACGGAAGATCCATAAATTCCAGGTGGAAAGCCGTTTTCATACTCTTTATATTGCGGATTAAGCATCTGCTGAAATATTCGAAATCCAGCAGTATTCTGCAGGGAATATTCTTTTCCATCTTGTTTAGTCAGCAAATCATAAACTCTTTCGGAACTGGAAATAAAAGTTATCAGAAGTAAAACAACAGTAGTGGATGTACAAATCCTTCTGTCTACTGCTTTCCACATTATTCACTGAAACTAATCACGTATCGTAACCGAAATTAAATCTCAGTGAAATCGATACACATAATTTTGAAATTTGATATCAATAAAGCTCATCAAACCACTTCTCCCACTCTAAATTGATGAAAAATCTTGCACACCAAGACTGTAAAATAAGTCTAACCTCTTCAAAACAAGCAGTGATATATAAGTGAAAAAGTGATTCATCAAAAACTCATCAGAAATGGTAGGTTTCTCACTGAGAGTAAGGCAGCAACAAAACGTAATAATAAACAAAAGACAAACTAGAAGCTAAAAATTTTCAGATGTGAGTTCAGATATCAATAAATGATGAACAAATGTGACAATCAACACATAGTATAGGATATGTCATATTATTATTACGATGTATTTGTCTCGTAGGCTCCTAATGGAAAATAAGGTTTCAGTAGCACATATCCAGTGAACTCTGTTCTCTGAAATCTTTTGAACCTGGCTCCACAACAGCCCACAAGCTCTCATTTCCTCTTCGCACGATCTCCTCCATGTCACCCTCAGCTGGGACGTCCAACTCGTCGCTTCCCATGGGGATTCCACTCGACGGCTTGGCCTGACGCAAGATGTCCCCAGTCGGCCTTCTCAGTGTGTACCCAATCCATCTCCACTTCCTTCTGCATATTTGTTGAGTGATAGGTTCTTGGTTGGTTCGTCACCAGCCAGAGCTCCTTGTTGCTTATTCTTTCTGGCCATCTGACCTTCAGTAACCAGCCAGCGTAGGCAGTTGTTGATGAATGTCTGTAGTTTGTTGGAAATGCCTTTCGTAACGCGCCAAGTCTATGAACCATACAGAAGCACTGACTTGACGTTGGTGTTGGAAATCCGCATCTTGTTCCACATGCTGAGTACAGAAGATCTCCACACTGGTTTCAGGCTAATGAACGCCTGTCTTGCTGTCTTTCCGATTCTGACTTGGACATCCTCGTCTGTGCCGCGTGTAGTTGAAACAGTGCTTCCTAGATAGGTGAAGGAGGTTACTTCCTTTAAGTTTCTCCCGTTAATAGTGATTGGAGCTTGTTGTTGTTGTTGTTGTTGTTGTTGTTGGGGGTGTTGGTTGGGTATCTTCATCACCTCTGTCTTCTCTATATTCACTTGAAGTCCCGTCTTCGCTTCCCTGCCTCTTCTGTCAACTTGTTAGTTTTCGCCTGTAGATCTTCAAGTTTGTGCCACAAGACATTAGACATAAATCATCATCGGCAAAATCCAAATCTTCTAGGTTCTTTTCCCCGGTCAAGCCAGCGAATCCCCCTCTTCTCACAGCTCCTCACTGTTTGTTGCATGATCCAGTCCACTACAACCAGGAATATCATGCGTGATAGTAGACGGCAGCCTTGTCTTACTCCTGTCTTCACTTCAAAAGCATTAGTGAGCTTCCCATTGTGAATTACTTGGCTGGCATGTGGCGTCTTCAGATAGTTGTTGAATGAGATTGATAAAGGTTTGTGGTATTCCGTAGTGTTGAAGCAACTGGCAAATTACTTCTTTGTAGACGCTGTCAAAAGCCATTTCAAAGTCGATGAAGTTGAGGTAGAGACTTGATTGCCATTCTATGCTCTGTTCTATGATGATGCGTAGTGTAGCGCTGTAATTTGGTCCGCATATGATTTGTACTTCCTGGAGCCAGCCAGCCAGCCTGTTCCGGTCGTAATTTTGAATCCAGCGCATCCTTTAGTCTCTTCAGGATGATGTGGCGTAATATTTCGCTCACTTGGGGTGGACAGGAGAGTGATTCCGCACCAGTTCTTGCAAACACTGAGGTCTCCCTTCTTCGGCAGTTTGACAAGGTGACCCTTCTTCCAATCACTAGCCAGGTACCTTCTCTTCCTTACACACCTTCTGCAATAGTGGTGTGAGCATGTCCACTGTTGTCTCTGCGTCTGCTCTCAGTGCTTCTGGCGGGATCCCATCTGGTCCTGCTGCTTTCCAGCATTTCGGTAGCTTTATGGCGTTCAGGACTTCCATTTTTGTTGGAGGATTTATGTTCACTTGTAGTTCAGCGTCTGTAGGTGGTATTTCTGGACAAAGTGCAGGTAGTGGTGGTGGTGGTCGATTCAAGAGCTTCTTGAAGTGGTCAGCCCATTGTTGTCTTTGTTTCTCTTCTTTCTTAATTAAATTTGCGTCATCATCTTTTATTGGTCTCACGTGTGTTTATATCTTCCTAGATAGTAACCTGGTCATTTGATACAGTGTTGTCAGGACTCTCCTACCAACAGCCTGTTCTGCTTCACTTGCCAGTGTGTCGTGGAAGTGCCTTTTGTCTTTCCGCGCACTCTTCTTCACTTCTTTGTCCACTGTGGTGTTTTATACATTGCGCTCAGTTCCTCTTGTCGTTGAGCATCCTTGCATTGGTTTATCTTCTGCTTCACCATCCTCCTCTCCCTCCTCTATCAGCTTCCATGTGTCCATTGAGATCCATTCCTTGTCTTCTTTCTTCCTCCTTCCTAATACGGTTATGCAGGTTTCTTTCCACATCTCTTTCAAAGACTTCCAGTGTTCATCCACACAGGTTTCTTCAGGGATGTTGCTCGATATCTCCCATTTTGTCTTGATGGCTGACCGGCGTGAAGATGTCCCTTGTAGTTTCGTCCTTCAGTTTCCGGGTGTTGCACTTGAACTGTGGTCTATCACCAACTTCCTTGAAGGCTTTCAACTTGATTTCGAAGGTGGGTTCTTTGCACTAGATAGTGGTCCGAGCCTACATCTGCTCTTCTTCTTGACCTTGTGTCAAGTAGGCTGCATCTCTACTTTCTTCACACTTCAGATAAGGGCGATCTAATTTTTAGTGTGTCCTGGTGTCTGGTGAAATCCATGTCGCTGCTTTGTGGATATCCTTGTGCTTGAACACACTGCCTCGCCTCCAATCACCAAATCGTTGAATGCACAGAATTCTGCAAACAACTCTCCATTCTCACTCACTTCACCGAGTGCTTCTCGACCCATGACGAGTTCTCTTCCTGTGTTGTCCCCTCCCAGTTTCGCATTCATGTCACCTCACCCATTAGAATTTTGACGTCGCCAACTGCAGTGAGGTGTTGTCCAGTGTTGATTGAAGTTGTCTGTAGAATTCCTCCTTCTTCTCTTCATCTGAATTATCTGTAGGTGCACAGCGTAGCATTGTACGATTGTGACTCTCCTTCCTTTTGAGTTGAATCTTGTTGTCATGATCCTGATCCCACGGGAGGAGATTGGTTCCCACTGTATGAGAGAGAGCCTTCGATGCTGTTGGGGACATCTCGATAGCCACTCCATAATTTAGTGTGCTTGTGGTTGTCGTCCTGGTGAAAATATCGGAGAAGATTATTGACTCTCCAGTTGACAGTTTGGGGAGTCCAATTCCATTCCATCTGCTTTCGCAAATTCCAAGCACTTCAATGTGATACCTCTTCATCTCGTTTGCAATCTGGGCTGCCTTGCTGGGTTCAAACATCTTGCGGACATTCCATGTCCTCACTCTTACTTTCGCTTTCATCGAGGGGGAGAAGACACATCGGCCAATCGGCTTCCCGAAGGCTTCACCAACTGGCGTCATTTCGCCTCTCCGATTCCAGCGAGGAATAATTTTGTTTTTATGTTTTATATTTTGTTTGTGTTGTGAAGTTTTTTTAGCGATCGGATTTGTTTTCCGGGGTAGGGTTGCTATCCCTATGCCCAACCTTCCCTCTTTACCCGGGGTTACGACCGGCTAGTAACTAGTGAACTAGTTAACCAGGCCTAGACGAAGTAGGGAGCTCACTGAAATCACCAGTAGAAATCTAAACGATCTGTTAGTTTTGAAGTCATATAAATATTTTAGTGCTTCTGTTTGTATAGGGATACACTTCATCTTTCCTATCATTGTTTGAAGAATCTAAGGAAGTGCTGTAAGATTTGTAATATTCAGCCACTAATCGTTGTCAGCATAAGAAGGATAGCCTCCATTGTACTGCCGATATTTGATGTGTAAATATTTTCTTGGATCATCTTTTAAGGGTCATCAAAGCCAACAGTTCTATGATATTGTGGTGCATTTTTATTTTGTTAAAGGTTAAAAAATAAAATGATGCTATCTCCCCACAACCATTACATTTACGCTGGGATGCACTACCTAACTGAATAACGTGTGATGCAGAATTCTTCAATACCTATTATATTTGTAAGTAATTTCACAGCAATTACATTAAAGACAATACTAATTACAAACCTTGCTTCGCGAATATCTTGAGAGCGGATAATGTTCGCCTTAATGAATATTGTCAAAAAAGTAAACCTATCACAGTGAGCAAACTTGAGCGATGACTATAACTTGTATGATGTTGCTTGTTTTATGTAGTCAATATTAAGGCATCTGCTCAGGAGCACATATGCCAATAGACACCGATCAACTCAGTTTAATCACGACGGTGTAATACAAGCAATGACGTATATTTTTAGTTAATATATTGGAATCCTTTTTATTTTCAAACGTTTTTATCAAATTGCACCGAAATAAATTTAAAATGACCTTCACAAATGCTTGGGATGAATAGTGGAAATTCATCAGAAAAATAGTTATCATGAATATCGTGAATATTCATCACTGATAACATATTTTTCGCATCTCTTTCTGAGTTAACCTCAAGATGTTTGTAAGTAGTTTCACTAAGTTGGAAATCAGCTATTATTTCAAACGTAAGAGGATGTATACTACTCATTGAGGTCATAGTCACTGAGATTAGAATTGACCATGGTTCAGATTGATAAGGGTTTAAATGCAGAACTAGTTAATATGACTACGAGAAATGAAGAAAACGAAATACATCCAGAAGAAATAATCACTGAGAAATATTTAGTAGTTATTCCGCAGATACCTCTGAAAAAACGGCCAGTAAAACTATCAAAAAGAAAACATGTTCTCGCAAAAACTGTCAACCTCACCTGGCTAACTAGTTCACTAGTTACTAGCCGGTCGTAACCCCGGGTAAAGAGGGAAGGTTGGGCATAGGGATAGC